GGCTGCCCCATCCCTGGAGGGGTTCAAGGGCAGGTTGGAGGGGGCTTGGAGCAACCTGGTGTGGTGGGAGGTGTCCCTGCCCAGGGCAGGGGGTGGCACTGGGGGGGCTTTGAGTTCCCTTCCAACCCAAACCATTCTGTGATTCTATGTTTCTACACAAGTTTGGCCTTTTGCAAATCCAGGAGTATACCTTTTCAATGAGATAATTTTTTCCCTATTTCTCTAAGCCTGACCTGCCACAAAACTTGCTTTATGTGAGCACTGTTCATAAGTGAACACATTTTTTTTTCCCCCAGCTCATTTGTGCGGTTCAGGTGTGAAATGAACTTTAAAATCTGGGCTGGAGGCCAAGAGATGCAATCCCATATTTTATTTTTTCCTGCTTTGAGCGTGCCCCTTCCTCCCCCGCTCACAGCGAGTGTGCCCTGGTTTTATTTCTTCTGTCAGTCCCACTTCTTGTTTCTATTCCAGTGACTATTTGCAGTTAATACAGGACAAATAGCTCTTAACATTTCTGGCACCAAGGATTTTTTTTTCCTCTTTTTGAACTTAGCAAATCGCAGGCGGCCTCATTCCAGCTGGGGTTGTCCAACAGCAGCTGCCTGCTGCTCAGGTTATTAGTAGCAATTATTGTCTGAATTTGGTGGGTTTATTTTGGTCGGGGACCTGGAGGAACCAAGCTTCGTTACCTCATATCGGCTTTTTTTTCGTGTCTCTGCTTCTGAGCTGTGGGAGAACGTTGGTTACCCGTTTCTGCAGCCAGAAGTTTGCTTTCATGTTATTTTGAGAGGTTGATTCAAAACATCAAGGGTTTCCAGTCGCTCTGAGACTGGAAGGAGAAGCGTGGTGAGAATGGGGGATTTAAGCTCCCTCTGATGAGGTCCTACCCGGGTACCCGTTAAAGACAATTATTGCCTAGAGCCAGACAGATCCTATAGATCCTACAAACCCCATCACCTGAGGCTGCCTGTTGTTTTAGGAGTGATGCAGCCAAACCCAAAGGACCTTAATTGACCTCACCTTTTATGAAAGATGAGAGCTAATAACGTGGCTTTGATGTGTTTCCTTGGGAGCCACCCTGATTCCCGATTACAGGATCAACTCACCAGCAGAGCAAAACCTTCTCTCAGGTGTTTTGGCTGGTTCTCTTCATGAGCTCCACCACCAACGCAGCCGGACTCCAGCTACAACAGCAAACAGACTCTGTTACACATCGCACCATTTCAGAGACTTTTTAAATCTTAAATTGTAATTGTCTCAAGATTTTTACCTCCTCTGCCTGTTCAGCATCTTGTCTGTGGGCTTCAAAACGCAGCCGTTAATTCTGCTCACCCTTTTCCTTCCACCCCAGTGCCCACCGGGCTCCTGGACGTCTGGTACCGACAGCAGGACGTGGACAACCAAAGGCAGAACATCTCTCTTTTTTGGAAGGTGAGTTGTTTAGGTGAAACCTGAGCAGATGAGAGGGAACTCTGGTTTCTGTGTTGGCAGGAAAGGACTAAACCCAAGGAGAGCACAGGGCTTTACCAGTGCCCAGTGACGGGGACATGGACCAGCTCTGGTACCCAAGGCTTGTCAGGGCCTCATCAGATCTTTTCTGACTACAATTTCCCTTTTACAGTCCCCCAAATGTTCTGTCATGCTGGAAACATAACACAGTCCCAGCACATCACAACAGCGAAGAGAAGTGGAGGCATCACAGCTCAGTTACTGCCTTTCAGAGACACACCTTCTCTCCCCCTTTCCACAAGGCAACCCCTGTCCCTGGTGGTATCTCCAAAGATAGCAACCTCACAGGCTTCCTAATTTGTTTCCTAATTAATATCTCCCTCTCCTGCTTCTCCACCATGTTGCTGTTTGCCATGGTTGCCACAGGCAGTCAGGAGAGGCGTTCTGGGAGGCCAGGAGGACACCATGGCCCATGTTCTGCATAGGCATCACCTCCTTTGGCTGCTCTGGGACATGAGCTTCCTTCAGGGGTGATTCTGCTTTGTTTTGCTTATATGATGGACAGAACAGTGAGGAATAGGGGAGGCAGAAGAGGCAATTTATTTTAATAGCCCTTTAAGGTGACCAAACTCTCAAAAATGGAAGAGCTGGATGTAGTCTGGGCAATGGGAAAGGTCCTGCCCGTGCCCACCTGTGTGGATGGACGGTGGGGCAAGGCTCTTGCTGCCCAGTCGTGCAGGAAGAAATTGGTTTTCTGTAGGGGTGTGAAGCAGGGGATGGGCAAAGCACACACGAAAGGGTTTGCCAGCAGTAAATCTGCAGATCTGAAACTGGGCAACCTCAGAGCCCAGAACAAACCTTGGGTGGTTTGGGTCTGCTGAGCAACGGCTCCCGCGGGCTGAGATCCGGCAAGGGAAACCTCAAAAAAAGAATTCACATTAAAACCCAGCTGTAAGGTAAAAATTCCACGTTACCGTGCGTTACACACCAGCTCAGGGGCAAAGGCTTCGGCCGGGTCTGCCCTCCCAACATTCCCAGTGGAACCAAGCCCCCTTACTGGTGCTGGGGGCTGAGCTCCTCCAGTATTGCCCACCCAGCACTTAAAGCCAGGTCCAAGGTTGTGGGGCATTTTGCTGTGGTGGTTTTATTTCGAAGCCAATACGATAATATTTTTTTTTTGAGTATTTTTTTTTTTTTAGGTATTTTTTTTTAAAGCCTAAATTACCTTTGACTTCCAGTTTGCAGTCTCTGGGTGACCTTCCCACCACCGCTCTCTCTTCTCCCCACACCAACGGGCTGTAAGTGAAAGCAGAAATTCTCATGTGATTCTGTGACTCCAGCCCTTGTGGCTTTAAGACATTTAACCTTAAGCCCTTTAACTTGCCGTAGCGAAGGGGCGACACTTTCTGTATCGGAGCAGACTTCCTGCAGCATCATTCATAAATCAGGTGCCATACGTAGCTTTTTTTTTTTTTTTTTTTTTCAGTTTGCAACGTACCACCGTTATTTTCATATTTTCACCCAAGGAAAGCATCACCAATGTAATTCCAGCAGGTTTTCAGAGTGGTTTCAGCACCGCCTTTGCCCTGAGCCACCGCCAAAGCCAGTGTAAAACTGCAAACATTTTCCTGTTTGTAAAAGCAGTTATTTTTCCCCTCTTCCTTCCTTTTTTTTTTTTTTTGGTGTTTTGTGACAACAAAAAGAAAAAAAGAAAAAACATAACCGCCCAACACAATGAACTGAGTGTATAGGAACTGCAGGAAACCATGAAACTGAGAGCACAACTGCAGACACCCCGGGGTGGAAAAACCAGCCGGAGGTGTCAGAGGGGACAGCACAGCCCTGAAGTCTCCGAGATGGGGAGCCTACGTGCTTGAATTTAAATAATTCGTTAGCAGGGCTTTAAGTAAAAATTTTCCCCAGCTTAAAAAAAAATTGCTCATTTTTAAACATCCATCCGTGCAGTTAATAGTCCTTTTTTTTTCCCCTCCTTGTGAAAAGCACGGCTTGAATCCAGACTCAAGGCAGAATCACAGAAAGATATGGGGTTGGAAAGGGCCTCTGGAGATTATCTCCTCCAACCCCCTGCCAGAGCAGGTCCACCCAGAGCAGGTCCCACAGGAACATGTCCAGGTGGGTATGAATGTCTCCAGAGAAGGAGAATCCACTGCCTCCCTGGGCAGCCTCTTCCAGGGCTCTGCCACCCTCACAGGAAAGAAGTTCTTCCTCATGTTTAGGTGGAACTTCTTAAGTTCAAGTTTGTGCCCATTTCCTCTTGTCCTGTCCCTGGGCATCACTGAAAAAAGACCAGCCCCATCCTCCTGACACCCACCCTTTCAGTATTTACAGGCGTTGATCAGATTCCCCCTCAGCCTTCTCCAGACTAAAAAGCCCCAAGTCCCTCAGCCTTTCCTCATCAGTGAGATGCTCCAGGTCCCTCATCATCTTTGTAGCCTCTGCTGTCCCCTCTCCAGCAGTCCCCTGTCCTTCTTGAACTGGGTGCCCAGAACTGGTCCCAGTGCTCCAGATGGGGCCTCCCCAGGGCAGAGCAGAGGGGGAGGATGACCTCCTTCCACCTGCTGGTCACACTCTTCCTGATGCCCCCAGGATGCCATTGGCCTTCTTGGCCACCAGGGCCCATTGCTGGCTCATGGTCATCCTATTGTCCACCAGGACTGTTTTCCACCAGGACTCCCAGGTCTTTCTCCTCAGAGCTGCTCTTCAGCAGGTCACCCCCAACCTGTCCTGGTGCAGGGGGTTATTCCTCCCCAGGTGAGACAGCAGCAGTTATACCGCTCCCTGGAAACTCATCAGCTCCCAGGAAAAGAGCTTCACTAAACCAGAATTAAACAAGAAAAATACACAAAAGATAAAGATAGGCAACCTCAGGAGAGATTCTCAGGTCAATGCATGCTCTTGGCCTTACCGTTAGGGAATGAACTCATTTTGTGTGGCTGGATGGCACGGGTTCTCCGGAGCGGAGCCGCGATGGAGCTGGGACAGGGCTTGGGAATGGAGAGCGCTGGTCACAGCTGGGCAGCAGCAAAATCAGAGGGGAAAAATCAGAACAGGCTGTTAGGTGGTACAGATCATACACAAATGTGCAAAATCACGGTGGAAAAGGGAAATTCTGCAGCAAGGACACCAGCTTCCTTTGGAAAAAAAACCCTTTTATTTTTAGCAATCAAAGTGCGTGTTCTTCTATGAAGATGCATTCTTAGGTTGGCACTGATGTGGAAACTATGCCACGTTTACAGCGCCTTAGCTGTACTTTAGGCCAACAGATCTTAAGTTAGTTAAAAATTAAAGTTTTACAGAAGCAAGTGGTCTCAACGAGCCGGGGAGCAGCCTCTGTAGCGCTGCTTGTTTCCTCCAGCTTTTAAAAGGAAAAGAAAGTAAAAACTAATCATTGGTTCCCCAAGAACATCGACTGGTACGTGCTGTGGTCCAGCAAGTAAAGCTGTGGCTGCAAATAACCTTCTTAGTATCAAAATAGAAAAGGAAGAGGAAAAAATTACCTTTGAGTGAAAGCTGTTGGGTTAAATGGGGACAGTTGAGCGCCTGGGTGAGGGAGATACTCTGAAGCCGAGCTCCAGCTTGGTACCACCAGCTTCCTGTGGGTTTTGCTCATCCGATGAAGAAGAGAGTAACAAATGGACTTTCCTCACAGGCTTTGAGCAGGTCAGAGGCGGGAGGAAGAATCCTGCAGTACAGGGTGAGCTTCGAAGCCCTGGGTCAGCAGAGGTCCCCAGCAGGAGAAGACATCACCAACCACACCAGCTACACCCGAGTCATGCCAAGGGTGGGCTACAAGATCACAGTCACTGCTGAGAACTCAAGGGGCAGGTCCCCCCCTGCATCCATTGTCACCAGCCTGGGCACTCAGGGTAAGGTCTTCTGCTGGGTCTGGACCACTGGGGATAACACCAGTGCCCTGCTTTGTGCTACACACCATGGAAGCGTGAGGTCTCACCACCTTGGACTCATTGAGGTCCATCTCAACGAACCTTTGGGGACCTGCAGGTCCTGTTTTCCATGTGGTGCAGTTTCATAACTCCTTAAGTTGCCCCACATTAGTACTGCTGCAGTTCACCTCAACCCCTTCTGCCGACGCAGGCGTGAACCACAGCACCAGCCACCCGGGGACCTGACACAGCAGAAATGAACCGTGACCAAAAAAAGCACTTCTGGGGTGGTTTTTTGGGTTTTTTTTGCATGAGAGAGGTGGCAGGACCCAAGGACAGGTGTTGGTGAGGGGAAGTGGCACAAGCTTTATCTCCTGTGAAATTGCTCGTGAGGCAAAATTAACAAGCTCTCCCCTGAAGGGGCCCAGCCCCAAATTTCCTGTGGGGCTCCTGTGGGACCGTGGGGCCCCACGCTCTGGGGTGGTTCATTCAAAGAGGCAGTTCTCTGTTTGCTCTTATCCGGCTGCAACCTCTGTGAACCAGGGACAGCATTCCAGCTTGTCCCGGAGCATCCCCATCAATGGGACGCTCTCCTCCTTTGGAGGTAGACGTGCAGCTCCTCAGCTTGCAGGTGGCATCAGATACGTGAGCCCTTCGTTAGGTAGAGCCAGGATCGGTGCAGAAACATCACTGATATCTGATTATTTAGAGGCAGGAGGACAAGAACTTCTTTGTGGGCTCAGTTCAGTTGTATTTGTTAGAAAAACCATTCAGGAAAGAGGGTGGTCTTATACCACCAAGGAAGACTTGGTGACACTGCCAACGCTTTCTCCTGCAAGAAAAAGCTGGCCCTGGCTGCCAAAGGAATGGCTTTGGTCTTGTGGAGACGATGTGTGTTTCTGGCTCTGTCACCACCTTCTCAGGGCTCGGGGATGGTATGGACAAGCAAAGCTGGGCATGTTCAAGCTGCTGCACCATGAGACAAACCAAGAACGTGGCACTGTTCCTATCAGCAGAGACATCACCTTTGCATAAGGACCTTTTCTTTTTCGTAGAATCATAGAATAGTTAGGGTTGGAAGGGACCTTAAAGATCATCCAGTTCCAACCCCCCTGCCCTGGGCAGGGACACCTCCCACCAGACCAGGTTGCTCAAAGCCCCATCCAGCCTGGCCTTGAACACTTCCAGGGATGGGGCAGCCACAACTTCCCTGGGCAACCTGTTTTATACATTCCATGTATAAATATGTATAAATAAATGTATAAATTTATACACAGTAGAGACACAGTAAAAGCCATACATCAGACTTACCGAGCCCACCAGAGGTTAAGGCAAGTTTGTGTTGATGGTGTCTTTTCTCTTTGGTTGGTCTTTCTCCCCTGTAAGGTCTACGTCCTCCTCAGGAGGTCTCTGCCATGGCCATGGGAAACAGCAGCATCTTGGTCAGCTGGAAGCCACCTGCAGGCCTGGTGGCATCATCACTCGGGGGGTACGTGGTGGAGTGGGCAGAGCTGGGGAGGGACATGGGCCTGGAGCCCCATCCCGCCTGGGTGAAGCTGCCGGCGTCCAGCCTCTCCACTGTCATCACAGGTAACCACCATCTCAGGGCACCTTTTTATTTTGAAAGCTTTTTAAGGAAAAAGTCAAATTCTAGTTTTCACTAATTCAGCATAAGTAACGATGGTATTTAAAGCTTTGTGTAGGAGGTTGAACAGAGAAACTGTGGCTGCCCCATCCCTGGAGGGGTTGAAGGGCAGGTTGGAGGGGGCTTGGAGCAACCTGGTGTGGTGGGAGGTGTCCCTGCCCAGGGCAGGGGGTGGCACTGGATGGGCTTTAAGGTCCCTTCCCACCCAGACCATTCTGTAATCCCTGCACCTCACAGCTTAGAGCATTGAGCTGGGTGACAAGGTTCACCTCCTCCCCTCTCCTGGAGGACACTGTAGTCCTGGGTTTCCTCAGGAAGGCACAGGGCAACTGTTGCTTCATGAGGAAACAAGGGATTTCACCCCTCCGAGTGCCAACATCACTTGCTTAATGCACAGTGATGCTCTGCCAAGCTGAATAGGAGCTCATAGAGAAGCATTATTTTTCCTTCTTTTTGAAAGACATGTTAATAATTAGAGTATTCATCTGAGATCCCAGCAGCTAATGTAAACACCTTAACCATGACTGTAATGCTCAAACTGGAGGGGAACAGATTTAGACTGGACATTAGGAGAGGGTTCTTCACTGTGAGGGTGGTGGAGCACTGGAACAGGTTGCCCAGGGAGGTGGTTGAGGCCCCTTCCCTGGAGATATTCAAGGAGAGGCTCGACAAGGCCCTGGGCAACCTGGTCTAGTTGGGGGTGTCCCTGCTGACTGCGGGGGGGTCGGACTAGATGGCCTTTGGAGGTCCCTTCCTGCCTGGGCAGTTCTATGATTCTATGATTCCTAATTATCCCCTTTTTAAAATGTCTTTATTTAGAGCACATAAAAGATAACGTGTGCTACCAGATCAGCGTGTTTGCCCTCTACAAGGACGGAGCTGGGCAAGGGGCATCCGTGAGGGGACACTCAAGAGCAGAAGGTAAACCCCAGCAACACACTCTTCCAGCTATTTTTAAGCCAGCTTTAAGCTCAGGTGGTAACAGTCGGTCCGATGTTCTGCAGCACCCTTGGCTGGGCCCCAGGTGTACACAACACCGCGGGCAAACGGCATCTTGGTTTCGTGGGCGCCCATCCCTGCCCACCAGCAGAGGGGCTGCATCACGGGGTACCACCTGTACCTGCAGAACAAGGACCGGGAGGAAGCCCCGGCCGTCTATGGTAGGTGTCTGGTGGAGACCAAGGCGAGGTGGGTGTGCTGCAGCTGGGGGACAGAGGCGGGGAGAGGGAGATGTCCTCAGAAAGGGTGAGGACACCCCTCTGCTGTGGGGGGTTGGCAGCAAAGTTCAGAGTCAGGTTCCTCAGCTACAGCTCCCATCAACAAGACTACACACCCAGGGCTTCCAGCTTTGAGCCTGATCACGATAAGTTATTTTGAATGTGGAACTATCAGATTTCCCTCCACTTTTTTTTCCCCCTTATTAGTTATTTTCTCAAGTTACAACCACTTCAGGCCCTTACAACTACTGGCAGGGAGGAATATCAGCCTTTCTGAAGCCCTGCCCACCAAACCCAAAGCCTGCACGACCCACGGAGACACTCTTTCCTCACCCAAGCCATCTCACGCTCCATCTGCCCAGGCTTCTGCCCAAGAAATGCTCTTTTTTAAAACTTTAGGGAGAAGTCACACAACAGTTTTTACTGGGTATTTCAAAGTTCCACCACACAAACCTCCCTTTAGATTGAAACATGAAGAGCAGCCAGAGAACAGGACATGCAATCCTGGGTGTCCCATCCATGCCATGACATCACCACCCCTATAGCATAAAGTCTTCCATAGCCCTTCCAGTCACACAGTAACACGAAAAAAAGAAGTTATTTAAATTAAAGATACCTCTCCACATTCCAAGCGCTGGAAACCCAGTTCATCCCAGTTAAGTGCAGCAAAAATGTGTGCCAGGTGCTTCATTTGCTTCTCCCTCTCTTCCCTCCAGCCATCTCCAACACCAGTGTCCAGTGCTGGCTGTTCTGCTGTGGGGGGTTGGCAGCAAAGTTCAGAGTCAGGTTCCTCAGCTACAGCTCCCATCAACAAGACTACACACCCAGGGCTTCCAGCTTTGAGCCTGATCACGATAAGTTATTTTGAATGTGGAACTATCAGATTTCCCTCCACTTTTTTTTCCCCCTTATTAGTTATTTTCTCAAGTTACAACCACTTCAGGCCCTTACAACTACTGGCAGGGAGGAATATCAGCCTTTCTGAAGCCCTGCCCACCAAACCCAAAGCCTGCATGACCCAAGGAGACGCTCTTTCCCCACCCAAGCCATCTCACACTCCATCTGCCCAGGCTTCTGCCCAAGAAATGCTCTTTTTTAAAACTTTAGGGAGAAGTCACAGGACAGTTTTTACTGGGTATTTCATAGTTCCACCACACAAACCTCCCTTTAGATTGAAACATGAAGAGCAGCCAGAGAACAGGACATGCAATCCTGGGTGTCCCATCCATGCCATGACATCACCACCCCTATAGCATAAAGTCTTCCATAGCCCTTCCAGTCACACAGTAACACGAAAAAAAGAAGTTATTTAAATTAAAGATACCTCTCCACATTCCAAGCGCTGGAAACCCAGTTCATCCCAGTTAAGTGCAGCAAAAATGTGTGCCAGGTGCTTCATTTGCTTCTCCCTCTCTTCCCTCCAGCCATCTCCAACACCAGTGTCCAGTGCTGGCTGCTCATGGCCCACCTGCAGCCTGGGGACCACTACGCCATCTGGATGACGGCCTCCACCGCTGCTGGAGAGGGGCCCCGGGGCAACACCGAGCTCCTCACCTTGGAAAGTATGAGTCTCTGCCAGGCTGGGGGCCAGGAGAAGTCCTAGCCCTCGACCCCCCTGTTTTCCACAGACTGGGAATGCCTTGGCCTGTTGGATCAGGGCCCCGGAGATGCTGGGAGGGCTGGAGCCCCTCTGCTGGGAGGACAGGCTGAGAGAGTTGGGGGGTTCAGCCTGGAGGAGAGAAGGCTCCGGGGAGACCTTCCAGCCCCTTCCAGTCCCTCAAGAAGGGGGGCTCCAGGAAAGCTGGGGAGGGACTCTGGATGAGGGAGGGGAGCCCTAGGAGGAGGGGGAAGGGTTGGACCCTGCAAGAGGGGAGATGGAGCTGAGATGTGGGGAAGAACTTGTTTGGTGGGAGGGTGGTGAGAGCCTGGCCCAGGTTGGCCAGAGAAGCTGTGGCTGCCCCATCCCTGGAGGGGTTCAAGGGCAGGTTGGAGGGGGCTTGGAGCAACCTGGTGTGGTGGGAGGTGTCTCTGCCCAGGGCAGGGGGTGGCACTGGGGGGGCTTTAAGGTCCCTTCCAACCAAACCATTCTGTGATTCTTTTCCTGCTCCTCTCTACTTACTGAAGATCTGTAGTTTCTGCTGGTTTTAAGGTGTCGATGTGCTTCAAGATCTGGCACAGGCATCCATGCAGAGAGTCCTGCTGACCTCCCCGTGTCCCACGGGTCGGTGGCTCTCTGAGGTCCCTCACTATGGTCACTGAAGCAGCTGTGAGCTCAGAGCCTTCTTGAGGAGCACAGCAGGAGATGCAAAAGCAACAGCTTCTCCCATAACATTCTGCCCACAGCTCACGGCAGCAATGGGGGTTTCTGTCCCACAAGACAGATTGCTTCCATCAAACTCATTGTGAGCCCAGAGCGAGACAAATGATCATTAAACCCCCGAGAAGGGAGGTGATAAAATGTGTGCCCAGAACATTTGTTTTGCTGTGTTACCTCCCCAGCAATGAGCCACAACAACAGCTTCCAGCCCCCCAGTCCCACACGATAGGGAATTCACCTCCGTGGGGTGGGAGGCAGGTTCCTCCCAGGGGCTGCGGGAGAAATCCAGGGAGGGGAGCAGGAGAGGAAATTAAAGAAACCCAGACAAGCTGAAAGAACAAGGTTTCTTGGTATAAAACCTGGGTTTGCGACAGTTACATTTTAAGCAAACAGTGCCAGGATGGCAAAGCCAAGGTAGTCACTGAGAACCAGCCAAATTGCTGAGAGCTCATTAACAGTACATGAATTTTTCCTACTAAAATAAAAAAAAAGTACAAGATTTTTCCTACTAAACATGCCCCACCCCGAGTCCATGTCCTCTGGTCCTCTGTCTGTGTTTGGTTCCCTGCTGGACGAGATCAGCAATGGGGTGTTTTGGGTTGTGGGCTGGATCTCAGGAGACATTGGCAGACATCTTTATGTTATAAAGTCCCGTTGTCCCCAACAGCCCACCCAAATTCGCCCAAAACGTGGGTACGTTTTATGAGTGCCAACACTGGGTGGGCCACAACTGTTGTCGAACTTGAGCTGGTGGATTTAAATTATGACTTTTTTTTTTTACCAAAAAAAAATAAAGGTGAACGATGCGTGCTCTGTATTTCAGGTGCTGGGGAGTGGGTGGCTGTGGTGCTCACCTGCAGCTTCTTCATCTTCTCCGCCTGCGTCTGCTCCGCGCCTCCGGCACGAAAAGTGTGAGTAGATCCATCCCTCCAGGAATCTGTTGTTGGGTGGGACGGTCACCTCCTCCCAGGACACCTTGGGGAACGGCGAGGATTGGTCTCAACAAAGGTTTCAGAGTACAAATGATAATAAGAACCCCCCTCCAAGCTTAAAATACAGCCTTAGATGGCATTTATTTGTTTAACCTGCAGGTTGCAGTCGCTCCTCTCGGCGCTTGTGCCGCAGTGGGAGGACAAAGCCATTCCCGACCCCGCCAACGCCGCCTGGGCCAAGAACTACATGTCTGTCAAGGTAAATTGCACTTTTTTTTTTCTCCTTCTAATCCCACCACTGGGGGAAAAAGGAAAAAGAAGAGGGAAAAAAGAAGAGGGAAAAAAAGAAAAATAAAAAAAAAAAAGAAAAGAAAAAGAAAAAAGAAGAAAAAAAAGAAAAGAGCAATTTGAGCCATGCAAGTCAGTCATCTCCAGGTGCAGCAAACCCAGCAGCCTCTGAGGGGGGATAAACTCTGTTCTCATATATTTTTAGATGTGTATTTTTAGAGCGTTGGAGAAGCTCTGTTCTCTTATCGTTTTAGGCTGTAGGATGCTTAAAACGAGTTAAATGCCAGAAAAACACAGAGACCTGTCCCTCTCGGCAGCTTCAGCTGCTGCACAGGGGGATGTCTGCGTTCTGGGGGTGGGATGTCATCACATAATTAGGGTATCAACCACGTAATTAATTATTGCTGTCCCCTCTGCAGGCTGAGCTGACCTGGCTCTCCAGCCCCTTCCTCAGCACCAGCAGCTTTGAAGAGCCCGAAACAACCCAAGTAGAGGAAGCCTTCGTGAAGGGAGACCCTCCAGACCTCCGGGACCAGCTCCTCCTGGGGACCGGCCAGCGAGTTGCTGTCCCCTCTGCAGGCTGAGCTGACCTGGCTCTCCAGCCCCTTCCTCAGCACCAGCAGCTTTGAAGAGCCCGAAACAACCCAAGTAGAGGAAGCCTTTGTGAAGGGAGACAAAAAAGAAAAAAGAAAAAAGAAGGGGGAAAAGAAAAAAGAAAAAAGAAGGGGGAAAAGAAAAAAGAAAAAAGAAGGGGGAAAAGAAAAAAGAAAAAAGAAGGGGGAAAAGAAAAAAGAAAAAAGAAGGGGGAAAAGAAAAAAGAAGAGGGGGGAAAAGAGGAGGAAAGACAAGGAAAAGAGAAAGACGAGGAAAAGAGAAAAGAAAGAAGAAAAAAAAGGAAAAAAAAAGGAAAAAAAAAAAGGAAAAAAAAAGGGAAAAAAAAAGGGAAAAAAAAGGAAAAAAAAAAAGGAAAAAAAAAAGAAAAGAAAAAAAAAAAAAGACAAGAAAAAGAAAAAAGAAGAAAAAAAAGAAAAGAGCAATTTGAGCCATGCAAGTCAGTCATCTCCAGGTGCAGCAAACCCAGCAGCCTCCGAGGGGGGATAAACTGTTCTCATATATTTTTAGATGTATATTTTTAGAGCGTTGGAGAAGCTCTGTTCTCTTATCGTTTTAGGCTGTAGGATGCATAAAATGAGTTAAATGCCAGAAAAACACCTAGATCTGTCCCTCTCAGCAGCTTCAGCTGCTGCGCAGGGGGATGTCTGCGTGCCAGGGGTGGGATGTCATCACATAATTAGTGTATCAACCACGTAATTAATTATCGCTGTCCCCTCTGCAGGCTGAGCTGACCTGGCTCTCCAGCCCCTTCCTCAGCACCAGCAGCTTTGAAGAGCCCGAAACAACCCAAGTAGAGGAAGCCTTCGTGAAGGGAGACCCTCCAGACCTCCGGGACCAGCTCCTCCTGGGGACCGGCCAGCGAGGAGGTGGCCACTGGCCACTGGTGAGCGGCTCGGGGCAGGAGCCAGAGTACGATGGGGACACAAAGGAGGACACAGAGGGGGACCCCTACAAGCAGCAGCTCCCCGACCTCTACAAGAGGATGGTGGTGGAGGTGACGGAGCAGACGCAGGGCGTTTCTGAGTACATCGCCAACCCCATCACCAACCCCATCACCACGTACCCACCACCGGTGACCAGAGACCACCCCGAACTCGAGGGCAACCCGCTCCCCATCTTCTCCCCGGCGTTTCTCATGCCCTGCAAAGGGAATCTCACTTTGGACACGGTGAAATTGAACAGCAGCTCTTTCGCCAGGTAGGCCCTCAGGGCGACCTCACCCTGACCTCATTTGGTTTTTTGCACTTTTAAGTAAATTATTTCAGTCCAGCCAGTCCAGTAGCTCACGTGTGACACCTTCAAGTGACAAAAAGCACCCAACTCACCAACTTTTCCAGCGCTGCAAGTGACACTTTATCATACAACGGAGCGGCTCCTCGTCAATCCAGCACCTCCAGCTGGAATTAAAGATGGGAAGATGTGGAATGACTGCAGGAATGAGTGGGCTTTTGGAAAGGTTAATTAATTAGGTGCCCCCACGCAGCCCAGGCTACCTCAGTCCCAACTCAGTCCACCCCAGGAATCAGAGATGTTACTCCAGGGCCAGGTGTCATCACAGTAGCCCCAGCAGGATCACAGCTGCAGCCCTTGCTCCTCCAGATGTGCAGTGTCTCTGCCCAGGGCAGGGGGTGGCACTGGGGGGGCTTTAAGGTGCACAGAACTTGGCCAAGGAGCCATGGGGCATCCCTCGCTCCTCCAGATGTGCACAGCTGTTGGCCAAGGAGCCATGGGGCATCCTCGCTCTTCAGATGTGCACAGAACTTGGCCAAGGAGCCATGGGGCATCCCTCGCTCTTCCAGATGTGCACAGCCAATGACCCAAGGGACATCCTTGCTCCTCCAGATGTGAACAGCTCTTGGCCACAAGGGCACCATTGCTCCTCCAGATGTGCATAGCTGTTGGCCAGGGAGCCACAGGGACACCAGCAGCCACCGCTGCTGAGCTTCACAAGTGACATTCCTCACCACATTGTCCCCAGGGACAGCGGCCCTCCAGCCCATGTGGTCACCAAGGGACAGGGTGGCAGCGGGGCCAGGGCCACCCTGGGTCACGTCGGGCATCGCACGGACGCAGCAAGTCAAATGGACTGGGGAGAAGAATTTAAATCATTTATTGAAGCATTCTAATTACAGGTCGGAAGCGTGTGTTACACATGTAATGACTTTGTTTACTGCACGTGTACAGATTATAAATAAAGCCTTGGGAACCCGAAATTTGCTTCCTGTTGTCTCCTCCAGCCAAGCTCAAGGGTGACCCCGCAGCTACACACGGAATAAAGTGTCTTTAAAAATAATAAAGCTGAAGTTTTGCTGCTCAAACGAGGTACTCTAGATCTGAACTTACCTGGACCATCCTCCTCCCCAGGACCAGGTGGTTGCCCTCCATCCGCAGCTCGCTCCATGAGCTGCTGGGCAGTGGTGTGAACTGGTGGTGAACCCCTCCTGTGATGCCACCACCACCTCAGAGCAGCTCCAGGAAGAGCTGGTGTCTGACCTGGTGAGGAGACAGCCCTCGGCTGCCCCACAAAGCTCCTTCCATCGCCTTTGGCTTGAGGTGAGGAGCAAAACCCAAGTGCTGTATTAGGGAGATCTCTGTTGGCTTTTTCCCTGTGTTCTTACATCAAACCCCCCCCATCCAGAGGTCCACACCCTCTTGCGCTCCCAAGTTCAAAGGCACCGCAGGACTCACTCACCACACCTGGTTTGATGAGGGCCACACCTCCACCCCCACTGGGAAAACACCTTGGCAACAGGCAGGAGTAGATGAAAATATAACATGCATGTTAAGTTTTAAGCTTTTTTTTTCAGGAATTTACACCCTGGCACCAGTTCTTGGTGACTTCTCCCTGCGCTTTCCCCAAGCTGAGACACCTTCAGTAGCCAGAGCCCACAATTGGAGCTGGGGCCACCTGGACAGATGCTTCTCTGGGAGAAGGAACTGAGACCAACGACAGCCACTGCCCAGGGAATGGCTCTCCCAGAGCAGAGGGGACAGCACTACAGGGAAGAGATCTCAGGGTGGGCATGGGGGGCTCCTCTGCAGCAGGTGGACGTTGCCCACCCACCTCGCCAGGACGTGCCACAGGGTCCTTCTGGTGTCACAGCTACAGAAAAACGAGATGCACACACTCCTGAGGACGCATCACGGCCTGCCTCACCATGCATGGCACCACCGCAGGAGGTCCATGCTCACCCCTTCCACCCACACGCTCAACAGGGTGGGTCAAAGCTGGCAGGATTTATGGATCTGCAGGTTCCCCCAAAAAAAAAACACATGCAAAAGGGCTTCACAGCAATTCTGAGGTGGTGAGAGCCTGGCCCAGGTTGGCCAGAGAAGCTGTGGCTGCCCCATCCCTGGAGGGGTTCAAGGCCAGGTTGGAGGGGGCTTGGAGCAACCTGGTGTGGTGGGAGGTGTCCCTGCCCAGGGCAGGGGGTGGCACTGGGGGGGCTTTAAGGTCCCTTCCAACCCAAACCATTCTGTGACTCCAAGTTTAGCTTTGAATTGTTGGGATACAATTTCAACCCCAGGACCTATTTGCATCCTCAGTATCACCTCCAAACTGGCCCAGGACCCCCATGCTCAAGGTCACAGCTGGGACCTGGACATGCTCAGACATGACAGCAGGAGAAGATGCACTTCCACGTGAAAACAGCTTTTCACAGCAGTTCACAAGTGATCTGCAGAGCAGATGCTCCTTTCAGCGTCTTCATCCAAGTCTGAGAAAGGTGGAGCACCATTAAAGGTTCATGAAGAAGCATGTAAATAGCAACGGCCACCTTGTCCTGACACACATCACTCTGCTCCACATCGCTGCCCCCAAGTGCCATGCAATCTCACCCACACCTTCAGGTGCTCTCTCAGGAGAAACAAGTCTTGTCCTTGTCCTCCAGACAATGGAAACCCTGCAGTGTGTCACATACAAGTCCCAACCACAAAGTGGGGCTACGCTGATCCACGCTGCTGGACTGGAACCCTCCAGTGAAACCAATCCCCTATCCCATTTACCTTCCCTCCACCCAGAGAAGAACGTGCAATAAAGCTCCCTCACCTCCTGGTGATGACACACCTCTGAGGCAACATCTCACAGGGGAAGATCAAAGGGCTCAAGGGCATTTATCGGTAACTACGACACAAACCCAACAGCTTCATCTGGCACAGAACACACACACACACATCAGCCCAGCTCACAAGGACCCTCACACCTTCAGCTGCACAAAACAGCCAAGATTTGGGGTTCCTGAGGACAGACACCTCCCACCTTGGCCTGGTGTCACCCAAAGGCAAAGGTTTTGCTCAGAATTGGGTCAAACATTGAAAACAACTCCATTTTCAGGCTCTCTCTACCTCATCTGGCAACCAACCCAACACGAGGACTCTAGCTGGGCATCACATCTGGTGGCAGTTGTGTGTGCCAGCAGCACACAACTAAATTAGATACCCAAAAAAAGCAAAAAATTTACACTATTTTGTCATTCAATTGATTTCCACATATTGCTCTTCAACATACAGACAGCAGACACTGAAGCGCATTTTCTCCTTGCTCGAGCCTCTGGATAAATTACCACGTGGCAATTTCTCTTCTTCATTCCAAAGACTTAACTCCAAAAGAGACAAAAAGCATCACTAGTAGGACGAGGAACCAAAGATTTAGAACTCCTCCTTGGGATGTCTCCCAGTAAAGGCAAAGGGACCATTCCCCCCCAGTCTGGTTAGACCTTAGAACTCCTCCTTGGGATGTCTCCCAGTAAAGGCAAAGGAACCATCCCCCCCCAGTCTGGTTACACCTCCCCCCCCAGCAAGAACATGACGTTTGGCCGTGACCTGGCAAAGGCCAAGCTCAGAAAAGGAGCAGAAAATGAAGGTGCCGTGGCCCTCACGGTGAATTTTTAGAAAAGAAGGAGGTTAGGAAATGCTGGAAGGGTCAGCTTTAGGCATATGTCCTGCGTTTATTAAAACAAGAGGCGCGGCGACGCAAACCCATCTCCACAGGCAAAGAGTCGTTACAGGTAAGAGTGGTCTCAGCTCCTCCGACCGCAACCACAACATTCACACCCACTTCTGATGTTTTCAGATGAATTTCTGTCCTTTCCCTCCTTTCCCGGCATCATTCGATCCAAAAGATGAACTTTCATGCTCAAACCTGCCCATCGTTATATCCCAAAAGCCAATTTCTCTCCCGCGTTTTCTGCTGACCGTCTTTTTTTTTTTCCCAAATTGATCAGATTTTAAAAGGTCTCGTCCTCCGGATTTGGCGTGACAGCACAAGTAACAAGTGAGAGGACGGCTAATGTTACTAATGAGCAAGGTCATTAATTGTAATTAAGCTATTTGGAGGGGTTTTTCCCAAAGCAAAGTCCGATCCTGGCGATGGAAACGCGTGGGCAGACCGGACCTCCTGGGGCAGAACCTAGATGAGATGCTATTTATTATCTAAGTGGTTTCACCTCCGTGTGTTTTCATCACATTTTTTAAAAGAGCATGAAAATAAACCTTTATTTCAGTTAACACCCACCAGTATTTCAAGACCAGACGTTGACAGATTTTAGTTCTTGACACAAAGGGACCGAAAGAGGCAGATTTACATCTATGGGAAGAGCAGAGGGACCAATGGCGAGTACAAAGGTGGCTGGAAAAATTGTGACCTGCCCCCTTGGGGAAACTGCTCCAACGCTCTACAGCAGGAGAAGGGAAAGCTTCCGACCAAACCCAGCTACAGCAGGGCCCCAAAAGTCATCTGGAAAAAAAAGAGCTGAGTGGGATAGGGGGAGGAAGGTTTATTTTGCAGAGAAAGCTTTTCCGTGTGTTTCTGCATATCTAGGTGTTTCTTCAATGGTATTATTTAAGGTGTCCCTAAAGCTAGAACTGCAACAGAGTTGACCAAACCACAAAAGGGAGAGGGAAGAGGAAGACCTCTTGGACCTTCGACAGCCCCCACACCCTGGGGAAGATCTGCCCAGAGTCCGCAGAAACGACCCAAGAGGTTTTGCCATCCAACTCTTTGAAAACTCGCCTCCTTCTCCCAGCCTGGAACTTTCCAACTCGAGGTGAGCGCACCAAAAAAAGTCTAACCCGATGATATTAACAGTGGTTTTACAACAAAAACAACCCCAACTTTTGTAGAAAATAGTTCCGATGAAGCAAGCCAGCTAAACACCACAGGTTAAGGAATCTGGTATCTCTTATTCAAAGGTCTCCCACACTTTTTGCCTGTCCTGTACAGCTTTTAAAAAAATAGGGCGTTACCTTTTGTTTTCTATCTACCTAGTTAAGAAACTACAAATATGTTATAAGCTGTCCAAAGTGTAAAACATTAAATAAAATGAAAAACCTGTTTCTAGTCTCCTAACAAATGCTGCCGATAAAAACCCTAAGAAACCTTCTTTATTTGTCATTCTCTCAACTTCTTTTGTGTCCTGGAAGTGGTAAATCCTGCTGCTCACAGGGATTAAATTAAACCTTACAGGGGTAAAAAAGGGTTTCTTACAATCACGCCCTGAAAAAAACATTCATTTGTCAGCAAATGGGGTCTCCAACTCCACCCAAATCCAGAAGAAAACTCTGAGGGAGAGGTTTGAGTGTTGGGGTTTCTGTGGTACCGCGCAGACTGCGACGTCCCCGTCTCAAAATGGAAAAGCCAACACTCCCTCCTGCCAGAGCCCAGGGATTTTGCTGCCGGACGGAGCAAGTGCTGGGGGATACGTGGGGAATGATGCTCCGTGTGTCAGACTGTGCTGCTCCATCCCAAATCCCAGCCGGAGTCCAGCCGGACTCCGCAGCGGCAGCTCCTGCCTTCCCCAGCCTCCCAGTTCCAAAGGGAAAAGTTACTCCGACCTACAGGGTACCCTCTCGAAGAAAAGTGTTAGTAATTTAAAAATCTCTTTTTTTTTTTTTGCCAACAAAGCATCTTGTTCCATGTAAGGGAATAAAGATATAAAGGGTGAGTGGAAGGTGTAATACAGTAATTTTTAAGAACTGCTCAGACCAATTATCCCCACACCATCGCTGGACCAATACACAGGTATTTAACTAGAAACCAATGTGCTTTCTATCTTTTTTTTTTTTCAAGTATCTGGCATCAATTTTCTAGAAAGGTTTTTTGCGTAAACAAACTACCAAACATAGATGAAAAATGACTGTTTTTTCCAAGTTTGAAATTAGGCATTAAAACTAAAATACTCCAGGAGTTAGTATTCCATACAGCACTAACAGTCTGCCAAATTCAAACTTCACATATTTCAAAAGACCACGGGCTGATAAAAATCTGCTAAACAGGAATTAAGGAAAGAGTGTGCAATAATTAAAACCCAGTTTGTAGTTCGGGTGGTGGGGAGGGAGGAAACGTCTAAAATCCTGAATTAAAAAAAAAACCAAAACAAAATAAAACACAAATGAAGTGAAAGCTTTTAACTGGTACACACTGTTCACACCTATATTTCAAGTTTGGAAACGCATATTTTCAAGCAGCAATACAAAAAAGTATCCATGAAGAATGCATAATCTCTGAAAAAATTATGAAAACATCCCTGCTACCATTACATTTCTAAATACAAAACTGACTACCATATTGTTGCTTCTGTGTAGCGAGAGAAGTTCATTTTCAAAACAGATAAAATTCAGTCTTTAGGTGTGAATGGTATGAATGACAGTCTCTTTTTTTCTTTTTTTTTTTTTTTTTTTTTTTTTTTTTTTTTTTTTTTTTTTTTTTTTTTTTTTTTTTTAAATTTCTTAGTTGTTTAGGATCCTTAAGCATGCAAGCCTCGGAGAGGAAGGCCCGACGAGGGCAGGGTTGGCTTATGACATCCAGTTTAGGACAGAGCTGGGAAAGCCTCTGGGTCATCTACATCAGGAGCAGAAGCACTTGACTGAAAAAGAAACAGCAGAGAGTTATTCCCTTCCTTTCAGTGTTTTAATTTTTCACCCCTTAACGAGCCCTTCAATGCAGTTTGAGACGTTGGCACCGCTCGTGGTGGACATGGGGACAAGGTTAAGCCTCTGTCCCCATGCACACAGACCAGGTGGCACAGCCACGGGGCAGGGACAGGCAGGGGGAATGTCCCTGTACCCTAAACAGAAGTGGGAATTCCTCCTTTTTTAAAACTACTTTAACCCAAACCCTATTTCCATAGGGAAATACCGGGATTCAACGAGGTAGAGCAGAGTAAACAGTCTAGTGCTGGAAAAATTACTAGAAACAACTTTTTCCCCAGTCTAGTGCTGGAAAAATTACTAGAAACACAACTTTTTCCCCACGTGACAAACAAGACTTTTTTTTTTTTAATTCCAAAGACTAGATAGTCTACTACTTTTTGAATCAAAGCTATTTGAAGAGGCACTGCAGGCAAACAGACCGTGTTTGCACATGGTTATTGCGTAAGGTTACAAGAACATCTCTTTTTGCATTCCTAAAGAGATCCCCACCTGTGGGTTTATGCTATTCTAGGGAATCAAAGCTATTTGAAGAGGCACTGCAGGAAACAGACCGTGTTTGCACATAGTTATTGTGTAAAGTTACAAGAACATCTCTTTTTCCATTCCTAACCTGTGGTTTATGCTATTCTAGCAGTTACCATCAATTCTTACCCAGGGACACAACTGAAGTGTTACAGAAAAGGCCCGTTTGTAGCACAAATTAAGTTTCACACGTTTCATTTTTCCCCAGTCACAAACTAGCTGTTGATAAAAAGAATTTTTGTGCCAACCCAGCCCTAGAAATTCATCCATTAAGCACGAATCTCCCCAGTAATTCCCAACTGAGCTTTTTTAAAAGGCTTTGTAATACACCTAAAAACCAGTGCTGTGATGAAATGCAGAAATTAAATATTTTATAATGCTCTTCGCTTTGTCCATGAGGGATTTGGAAGAGAAGTAGTGTAGGAAGAGCCAGGATTGGGGAATTTCTTGTAGACATATTTATCTATCAAGAGATGGATTTAAATCATTCCAATAAGGGTTGTATCAGCACCTACAGGCAAGACTAAGGCACTGCAGAACTACCCAAACTAGAATTAAAAGGTATTAGCAGGGTCTTAAACCTATAGCTTTAGTATCTCTGGTTGCTCGTTACAGAAAAGTGGAAAACAAGCCCAAAAAGCCACGTCAGTGCAGGAGAGCCTTGGTCACAGGTCAGGGAAATGCCAGGGGAGATCACCAACCTGGTTGGGTGTGTGGATCACGTCAAACTCCTTAACCAACTGGAAGGAAAAAAAATAAAGTCAACAGAAAATAAGCTGCAGAAAAGGTTTTAACTACTTTATGACAGCATTCTTGAAGGAGGAAGATGTCACATCAGTGAAAACTCAGAGCAAACACCACCACCGCTATTTAATTTCAATTCCTAAAAATTTTCTTTTATCTCTATCAGTAGAGAGTTTTCCAATGAATAAGCCTGAAACTTAAAGTGACCCAGTGTAAAAGAGAACACAAAGTCAGTGTCTCAGAAGAGACAAAAAAGAGCCAGTCTGCTTGATGTAAAGAAATCTACACTAGCTGAGCACATTTTTTAGTGAGGAACAACTTGATTTGATGCATTTAAGCTGAATAAGTGATCCACATCAAATCAAATCTTTACTGTAGCTACATTACAATATTTTGAATTTATAAGTTCTCTCCCTAGTCCCATTCAGTGCTTTTCCTGAGTTTTTCCTTAAGACCATAGGAGGAAAAATATATTACTGCAGATTAAAAAGAAAACCCAATAGGAGTCCTATTTCCACACGAAAACTCTAAATTCCTCAAATTCAAGATGTAACATGCAGCTGTAGAACCAGTCTTTCACCCCCAACAGGTCACAGCACAGACAGACCATGACCATGTCTGAAAATAACCGCTCTCATGCTCGTGGTTTCCCTCTGGCACAAACAGGAGCATCTCATGGTACATTCAGATCTGGCCAGAAGAGTCTTTTTTCCAGTTTAGATACAAGGATGGACACTTTTTTTTTGTAACCCAACCCACTCCCCACCCTCCCTTTTTTTGGTGTTTAATAAGAACACCGCTAAAATATTCCTCCTTTTGTCCTAAGAGCAACTTAGTTTAAAGGAAATTTGTAAGAATGGATGCTTTAATTGGTTTTAAAACATAGAATCACAGAATCTTCTAGGTTGGAAGGGACCTTAAAGATCATCTTGTCCAACCACAACATGGTGTTTGTTGTAAGAGCAACTCCTTCGGAAATAAGGAAGACACTTAAAACTATCTGTATGAAAATTCTAAGAACAAAACGAAATTAAAGCTCCTTGTAGATGAGAGCTGCAGCTACTGACCTTGTCAGTTCTGCCTCCACGGCTGGCCCTGCCACCACGTCCTCGGCCACCCCGTCCCCCTCTGCCACCGCGTCCGGGGCGGCCGAGGTCTCCAAAGTTGATCTCCAGCTGGGATGTAATATCATTTGCTGGTTTGCGGAAGTGATGATCCATTACCGAGTCCTCAGCGTGAGCCTGAAACGAGTTATTTCTCCATCAGTAAGAAAAGAAGAAAAAAATCTCACCCAAAAAACCTTTTCCAAACGCGCTCCCAAATTGAGGACCGATCACCTCCATTGATTCAAGTTAAAGGACAGTGCACAGATTGTCAGGAATCAAGTTGTACCCCTTGTGCAGGTGACGAAAACCACATCCAGGTAATCAAGTAAGAGCTTGAGCAAACAAAGGTATTTTGCGTTTCCAAGGTAATTCAGGGAAGCTCTGGAGTTCCTTCAGAGGAATGAGGTCAGGTTTAGCTGAGATCAAGCTATCACCAAGGCAGTACAGAACCTCATTTTCTACCATTTCTCTTCTCGCTTTGCATCCTGAGTAATCTTCAGGCTACCGAGTCCTCAGCGTGAGCCTGAAACGAGTTATTTCTCCATCAGTAAGAAAAGAAGAAAAAAATCTCACCCAAAAAACCTTTTCCAAACGCGCTCCCAAATTGAGGACCGATCACCTCCATTGATTCAAGTTAAAGGACAGTGCACAGATTGTCAGGAATCAAGTTGTACCCCTTGTGCAGGTGACGAAAACCACATCCAGGTAATCAAGTAAGAGCTTGAGCAAACAAAGGTATTTTGCGTTTCCAAGGTAATTCAGGGAAGCTCTGGAGTTCCTTCAGAGGAATGAGGTCAGGTTTAGCTGAGATCAAGCTATCACCAAGGCAGTACAGAACCTCATTTTCTACCATTTCTCTTCTCGCTTTGCATCCTGAGTAATCTTCAGGCTCTAGCAATTCATTTCGTTCCTTTTTTTTTAAAATACTTACTTGGAAACCCATCTTTATTTTGCTCAATGAGTACTTTACACTTTCTCATTTGCTTAGCCCTGTATAAATATTTAAAACAAGGGAGATTGGTAAGAATCCCTTATTGATTCGGATTAGCCATAACAAACAGCGAACGAGGCATAAACAGTGCAAACAGGAGATAAATGAGGTAGCCAAAACATTAATGCTGAAACAGAGAACCAGTCTCACCAATTACACTGAAAAATACTGAAAAATAGGACTCTCACCACCTTTGCCATGATACAACATTCTCTTACGGCCAGTTGGTTCCCAGTGCATTCACAGTGAGAAACTGGACCCTCCAGGAGCAACACATGCACCGAAGAGTTACATCTAACACCATAAACGCTACTATTCAGTGCATTTAGAATTTCAAATTATTATACAATGAACACAAAACCCCCCAAATGTTATCAAATTAGTAATTTTTCCATGTAATAAGTCAGTTTTTGGCACCTATGATGGTAGATAAAATGTAAAACTGAGCCCCCTGCATCAGACTGAGGGTTTATCTGGTCCATCTCCCCCTCTTCCAAGATCCAATCATCATGTTTTGGAAACACGACAACAAACAACGCTTTCTTCTCCTAGAACCCTGTAATTTCTGGCACAGCAATTTGCTTATTTTTTTTCCTACAGAAGTGCCATGTGCAAGCTTAAGCCTACCGACTACAACTTACTTTTCTGGCGGTGTAATTGCACTTTCAAAGGCAACACGTTGTGCAATTAAGCCCTATACTCTTTAATTACAATCTGAGGATCCTTCGTAAGGCAGGCAATGGATACACAGAGGTCTCTGCATTGTAGACCCATCCCTCAGAGACCTCTTTTCCAAACTCAGGAAGGCACCCTAAGCAGCTGTTTTTCAGAGAAAACTCATTCCACACCTCAGCCTGACATTACCTAAATTTAAGTACAATCTGTAAAACAGCACACGATACCTTTTGTTACAGCTTTGATTCCTTTCTTCCTACTTAATACTTTACCTACATTTGATCACTGCAGGGTACTGAGATGGTATTTTCAGCTTACTGGCAGTTATTTTTCTTCTGAGATGCATTAGAAGTGGATTTATCAGTAATTCTGTGCATTTCCTTCCCTACACTGTTAGTGAAGAAACACTACAATATACCAAAACCACTGCATTTTCACAACTTCAGTTTAACCACTAAACCCAACAAATAGTAAATTCTATATGTGTAACCTGATGATTTCTTTGTCTAAAGTAACTAAAGCTAATTGAAAACACAAATAAAACCTGGCATGTTCTCCTCATCCTCTTCTATCACTTAGGTGACAACAGTCAGAGACAAACCCCACAAATTGCTTATTCTGAATCATCTTTGGAAGCATTTAATTTATATGTATTGGCAACTCTCACCAGATGAAATAACTGACAGGTTCTTGAAAGCATCATCGCATTTAGGGGTCTTGGGGAAGGCAGTCAAAAATTGAGAGCAAGCTAGTGAGGGAAAGGGAGCCAAAGCAGACAGCGAGACGTGGAAAAACAACAGCAACAACAACAACAACACAAAAAAAGAGACTCATGATAGAAGCATTTATGATAAGGTTTGAATTCAGCTCAATTAGCAGCAAAGGTACTAATTATGAAGGGTATACGGTGCGCGGTTAGACAACAGGCATGGACAGAAGAGCTCCAGATTGTATCTACTTGTATTCTCTATTTTGGTGACTTCTTAATACCCAGCCCTTCATTTCAGAAGGGGCTCTTATCAAAACACAGGTATTACCAGTTAGATATAAAGGATCAGTACCTCATTTGACTCCAGCAGACTCCCCTGCATTTCTGTCATCGCCTTTGTCTGATGCAAGTTGCGTGTCCACGCCAAAGTGACAAAAAGGAACAAAGGGGAGAAAACAAAAGGAAGAAATGAGACTCAACTACATACAGAAACAACAGGTAATAAGGTCACACGAACTCGCCGGATACAGATGTCACTGAGCACATGAAGCAGCGAAAGGATGAGACCAAAAAGCCATGCGAGCTTCCAGAAAGATTAGAGGACAGACTGTGCCACAGGCGTGGAGACAAGAGAAATCTCAGATCGATATCAAATAAAAGTTTAATTCAAGCTGCTGGAAACTCCTTATTAGAGCCCAGGCATGCAGGTAGGTGATCTCTAGCACAGGCACACCGCGTACAGAACTAGACGGGTAAGAGCGTGGGATGTTTAAAATTACTGTTAATGAGAAAAGGTTTCTACACGGCCTTGATTCAAGAGTCATTCCTCCAAATTTTGAGAAGATGGAACTATCATCTTCCAAAATATATTTCTCAGTCTCCCACTGCAACATCCTCTAAGGAAGCGATTAGATTAGCAAGAGAGTTTGAAGGCACAGGGAAGGGACACAGCACAGTGGACACATGGAGTAGGAACTGATTTACTGCTGTTCAGTCTTTCCAGGAGACTTGCATCCAGCTTTCAGAAAAACAATTTAAAATCTCTCCAAAATTTTAACTCCTCCTCACTTTTTGTTCAGCTGCACCAACAGAACTTAAAAGATTCAAGCCACTAAGCCAGCTGCAGGAAAGGGAAAAAAAGAATCTCTATTTTATGGCATAACCTCATCTCCTGGAAAGAGACTCATCAGACCAGAGCTGCCAATACACATGGATTTCAGATTAAACCAGCAAGAATCTGAGATGCTATTAGGAGATTGGGTTTTTTTGTTGTTTTTTTTTTTTTTATATACAACATATCACTTTCTAGTAACTGCAAATAAAGTGTGAGAAAGAGGAAAAACTTCAGGCTGGGTCAAACATTTCACCCCTGGGTGAAGAGCAAGAGGAGGTGGAGGAGAGCTCTTTCATAAGACTAAGGCACACGAACAGTACTAGATCCTCACGCTCCTTTTTCCCCCCAGACTCCTAGGACGTTCTCCCAGTAGTTCCCAAACTACAGGAATGAGGGTGGTCATCACAATGCTTCAATCCAAACTTCTGAGAATATCCTCCACAGAACATTCTGATTTTTTCAGCCAAAAGAGTAGAGACTTGAGGCCAAAACCCAGGATTTACCTACAAACCAAGTCACTTCCACACATCAAATCCCTTCTTATCGGTAAGAATCACAGAAACCTCACATCAACCTTCATTCCATGACTCATAAGTATGTCCAAGAAGACAATCAGATAAAGAATAGCAGGTAGGTTTTGCTCATACTTCTAAATATTCCACTTTCTAAGGCTGCTCACAAAGAAGCTGCAGTGAAGGCTTTCCTACTGCCTCTGTGATAGAGCTATTTTTCTGTAAAACTTCACAAAATCCCCCCATGCTGCTTCCCAAGGGATCAGTGAACAATGAGTAAGTGAAATGGGGAGAGACACCTGCTGGACATAAAAGTAGGCTAAAAGCACCTACATTTAATGGCAATTTTGTTAATACCTCAGTTCTGTGCTTATACAGCGAGGACCTGTTAACTTCTCATGTGATAGCGTTAAAAATATCTGACTCATTTCTTTGAAGTTAACAGAATACACCTCTCAAATAGAACATTCTACTAATTACAGCAGCTATTCCATAAGTGTAATTTGATTGGTTATTCTGATTGGTTTTGTTTGGATTTTTATTTAACTACCGATTAGTTTATCTAAATGGAAAATGCAGTACAGACCTTTCTAGCTTTGAAATTACTCAAAAGTGTAAAAGTACCACCATCTTACACACACAGATATCTTAAAAAAAAAGAGTCTTCAGATGACAAAACATCAAATTAATCTGCTTTGGAGAGATTGGGGCTGGGAGTTTTTGACACATGTGCAGGACTACAGGCTTAGTAAATCTTGGTGAAGTATAGAAATACTTCTCTTTAAACATAGTCTTTTAATATACAGCAACATTAAGCTTAACTCAATTTACCTTTTCTACACAAGCCAGAGAAAGCAGTATTTAATGAGCACTTCCAACACCAAACAGCTTAAGGTAAATAAAAAGATATGGAATTGTTTAAAGAACTGAACTACCCTGCACAGCAAGAAAAGAAAAATACCATGACTGTGACAAAGTCAAACTTGTTCCAAGTTCAGAGAGATTAGAAATAGAGTTTTTTACTGGAAAGTACTGCCTAGTACCTGCCCATCTGTATTATGTCCCCAGCTGAGAAGAAAACACTGACAAGGTGTGAAATAGCAGAAATACATAACAGAAGACCAAACAGAATATTACATACTATCTAGTTACTTCAAAGGTAGTCAGAACAGTCTGGTATACAAAGTTGCAGGCCATCTCTAGCTTAAAGGAGGCCACTTAAGATGTTACAGAGCGTTAAAAACAAAGATTAAAAGCAAAGATTAATGCAGCCCTGCATTAGAGAACAGAGCTCTCAGCACTCTCCTCCCTTCTGAAGTGGAACAGTACATCTCTCCTTCCCACTCTGGCTCTCTTGGAAAAGAATAATTAAATATTTTGCAATAACACTTGAGAAACTGCCATTTTAAAATAATTCTACAGCAACTACGTCGAGTATCACTGAAGGACACAAACGTATTTCACCTGGTTTCTCAAAAGCTTCAAGGACAGTTGTATACAGAACATTACAAAATGAGAAGATACCCACGTTGCAAACTAAAGATACACAGTCTGGGTATTCAGGTGTCTGAGGCATGACCAGTGTTTCTTCAACCTTCCATCCTGTTTAGCGAGCACCACAAATCCCTGTACTGCAGAAGACTAACACAATGCTAAATAACATAAGCTTTTTAAAAAAAAAAAAAAGCAAAGAAATAAATTTGCTATTGACAAACTTCTGCAATGCTCACCAAGAGAGGGTCCTTACAAAGCTCCCCGCCCAGATGTAGCAGAATTCCAGTCTCGTCTCTAGATTATACCCCAGTATAAACCAACCCAAGGGTACAGATCAACTCCAAAAACTAACCATGGTAAGAATTGCTAATTACACTAATGTGTAACCTCTGTTTTATTAAAAGAAATGTTGTTCCCACTTTATAAACTTTTAGCTACAGGTCAGCGTCGCAAGGAACGGAGCTTCCAATCCAAGAAATGTGCATCAATGGAAAAACCTAGACATTTTGGACACTAACAAGAACTGAAAATCACTTTACCTCCTCACTCTTTGACTTGTGAAGAACAAATCCTTTTTTCCACTGCCCGTCAGCACCCTCATTTGGTTTACGGATGTTGAACTCCACTTTTGCACGATCCTTACTCTGAATAGCTTTCCACTCGTCCAGGGTCATTTCCTTAGGGCCTTCTTCCTTAACTTCTTCAACCTCATTCTCTCTGCAGTAAATTCACAGGTATTATTATCATCATGACTTACAAATCACGTTCTAGGTACAACAAATTCAGAATCAGTTGTTAATTAGCACCAGGTTATAAAAAAAAGTTTGTCAAGTATTTAGCAGAGGTGTATATAAAACCCCCTCGTTTCCATCGCTCAGAAAGCACAAATGAAAACTCATCTCCTTTAGCCAGAGAGCCAAATAAGAATCACAGCCAGACACTTTTCAGTAAGTAAATAGTGAGCACAGCAAAACGTTAAAAATTAATACTGATCCGTGCCATCTATTCTCCATGTTAATGACAATTTTCTTTACAAACACAGAAGCATAACTTGTGTAATGGACTCGTTTGGAGCTTCCCCCTTCCGCTTTTTGAGATCCCTCTCTCATAAAACTTCAAGTTAAGGCAGTGAGAAAGAGAGCTCATTCTTACCACAATTTTCAGGCTTGTTAGTATTTTAAAAACCAGAATTTAATCAGTTTTGGATAGTCTGCTTTCTTTATTGAACCAAAACCAATTATTAATATCCCAGGCAACCAAAACAATTTTTACTTTCAGCTAAATTGAAAAAAAACAACAGCATGTAACTTAGCTACTTGTGCAATGCATCACCTCGTCGTAAATCTTTGGTGCCCTTACCTTCTGCCAAAGAGCTATTTTTAAGTAAAACACAAGAACAGATCACGTTCCAACTACCCAGGCAGTCAATCCTCCTCATTCTTCTGTGTTTATGCAACTATGTTTCCAATGTATAGAAAAATAGTGCCATGTATGTGTGGCAAAAGAATCACAAAAGCCTCAACTTAAAAGTTGCTTTGTAGCCATTACAACTTTGATGTAATAACGTGCAGATTTTATGACAAAATTACTGCATTTCAATTTTTTCCCATTCTGTAGAATGATTTTTGACATGGTATATATTCAGAAGCATTTTTTTCTCAAGGGAAAAAATACTCTCCCTTGGCATTCTGCACATTTTACTGCAGTAAAACATCTCACAGCTCTGCTGAAACATTTAGGTTAGATGTATACTCCAAACTAGCCAACCTAAGAAACTAACCCATATAAAGATGCTTTTCTATAATAACTGATGGATTACAACAGGTGCATTATGCTTGAAATTGGAAAAAGTACACGTTTCTGCAGATTTTGAGGAGGAAGATAAAAAATACAAACAGCCTGCAGAATTTTGCAGACAACTGATCTGCACATGGATGGGTCAGTATCTGGTCAAGCACCAAATAATAAAGACTAATAAAGATCCAAGAAATACTGCAGACACAGCAAATTTAATATATCCAGATTTCCAATACATATTATTTTTCTGAGGACTAGCCAGCTTGCACTTTCTGACCAACGCTCAAGCTTTATACAGAAGCGGTGTGAAAAATAAGGATTTATAAGATTACCTTAATATAGGAAAAGTAATAGCATTTAGTCTTTTTTTAGTTAAATCCATTTTTTATTCTCTATGCAGTACTTGTACTCTCTTTACCACTAACCAAAGTTATTAAGGAGGAACTCAAGCTATAGCAAATTCTCAATTAGAAACCTCATGCAAACAAGGATGTCAAAGTCCTACCTTTATCTGTTTGCCATTTTCTTTTGAATCCAGATCTTAAAATACATATGATTGTACTACACTATCATAAAAATTTGTATCATGTTTTTACATCAGCTGTGAGTAGGACTACTGCTCATTCTGCTTCTCTGATTAGTTCATTTATCAAGTCACTGGTTTCTTCTGTAACAGTGGCGAAGTGAAACGAGAAGCAATTGAATTAACTTACTTGAAAATTGCCTGCATATAAGGAAGCTGGAGGAGGAGAGATACAAGCCTTCCTCCACAGGCCAGTCATACAGTCCCAACAGCTGCTTTGAAAAACTAAATTTAAAAAAATAAATTGCCTTCCGCTGACAGAAGAACATTTTGTCCCTTTCTCTTGGTGGTTTTACCTAGTTATGAGCACAGATGCTTTTGGATTTGGTACTTAGGAGTTGTGATCCCCAGACCCTAAGCGTATTAAACTGATTATTAAAACTAAATCTGAAAGTGACCTAAGAGCCTGCATGACACTAATGAACAGTTTCAAGACAACGATTTTTAGACACGCAGTTTTTAAAGAGACGACGGTCTTCCAGCAGCACTGTGGATAATATCCCATCTACTGAAGAAAATACCATCTGGGTTTGGAGTAGGAATAAATAGCAGAGGTTAAAGGCAAAGCCACGCTACCTTTGAAGCAATCAAAGAGCATTAAGAGGGGTGGCACTCACTTGTTTTCCGAATCAGCAGGCGGATGTTCCTCTCCCTCTGGCGTTTCCTCAGTTACAGCAGACTGATCCAACTCACTGCAATTACAGAACGTTTGGGGGGGTTGTTTTTTAGAGCTTCAGCCCAATTTACAAGCTACATGAAAATCAATGACTAAGTTCTACAGTGGATTTACACAACCCGATCTTCTTTAAAAGGAACTATTTCCTTAAGAGTTGGCACTCTCTGGGCATTTCTCTGCTTTCCACCTTCCTCATGGTTTTCCCCCAAAACTCACTAGTGCCCATTCTGAGACCCTTGACACAAAAACGATTTGGCCATTAAAAATATTTTCAATGTAATACTTCTGAAAAAGCATGCTCGACCTGATCAAAATTGTTAACATTAAATTATTTGATTTTTTTAATGTTCAAAAATCAGCACAAGACACCCCCCCCAATTCCAAATTCCCCCAAATTCTGGCTTTAACAGTGAAGCCATCTCTTACGCTACAAGAAAGCACTGATTTTTTTAAAAATTCTGCTTTAATAGCATAGCAAAAATTATCAAAAAATCAAAGGCGAGAAAGGCAGCTAAATCTTTACGTTTTGCAAGCCCTAAAAATTAGGATTTATTTATTAACATTCTGCTAATCATAGTTTTCTGAGCAATTACAGATTACTAACGTTAGCTCGTCTTTGACGGTTCCCCAGTTGTGTGATCCACTGCCACCGCGCTTGTCCTCATGCTTTAGGCCGCTGAAATGTGAATGTGAAACAGAACTAACAAAACTGAGTTAACATTATAGTGTCCAGACACAGAAATTCAAAAGGCAAATTTTAAAATGTGTAGTAATTGTAAAGAATAGCTAAAAAAAAAAAAAAACTCCAGCCTGAATTTTCCAAATAGTTGCTCTTCAAATGTCTCGAGGAGCAGTTCTCGCACAAGTCCACTGCCCCCAGTTTCAGACTTACTGTTCTCTGGATGTCACTGCTGGTTTATATGCTTAGCTCCAGAAGGGACTTTGAAATGCTGTGGGCACTGCAGACCACCTCCTCCTCAAAAAAAAAAAAAAAAAAAAAAAAAAAAAAAAAAAAAAAAAATAAAGAAGTTAAAAGACTTACGATCTATCGCTGCCGCTGTGTCTGTCAAATTCGCGTTTGCCACGGGAGTCAAAGCCATCTCCTCTGCCCATTCCACGCCCACGGCCACGGCCTCGTCCAAGTCCACCACGTCCACGCATAGGTCGGTCAAGAATGGGTCTAAGCAAGGGAACAGCCCAAACTTGAGTATTTCACCTTTTAAATTTTCTTTTCCTCTTTTGAGAATTTTATTTACTTACTCTTGTCCTTCGATAATTAGTGTTTGTAACTGTGTCAAGGCTCTAATTGTAATAGCAAATTATTACACTGAAAAAACACGCATGCTAACACCCGCACTTTAGAATGTAAAAAACATGCTCAGAAGGATTAATGTCTCTTTGCCTCTTCTGGCACTAAATTTCAAAATTTAGCGCTTGGATTGTGCTCCATAACTAGGTGATACCACAACTTCAATTCAGCTCACATTCACCCAACTGACTTTTAAAAGGATTTTAATGTTGGCTACTAAAACTTTAATATTTGAACATTATTTCCAGAACACTTGAATTCTGGATCCCTCATGATACTCAAGAGACTTTTAACTCTTGCCTAGACGTAAGATGGCTTTACTGCTTCCAGATCTGATGTCACTGCAGCCAAGGTGTGAACACCTAGATGGACAAACTTGTATTGGCTTGAAGTCAGCTGCACAGATTGAAGCAACAGCTCTAAGAGCAAACAAACCTCATCCTGCAGGCAACGGCCGCGCTTGAGTCCCTTTCCTGAGCTACCTGCTATGGACATAGAGAGATATGGCTGATATTGCTTACTGATTTAAGCAATATTACTAGAACCTGTTTAGAAAGGCCTGTAGTGACAGGACGAGGGGCAATGGCTTCAAGCTGGAGGGGAACAGATTTAGATTGGAGATTAGGAGAGGGTTCTTCACTGTGAGGGTGGTGGAGCACTGGAACAGGTTGCCCAGGGAGGTGGTTGAGGCCCCTTCCCTGGAGATATTCAAGGAGAGGCTCGACGAGGCCCTGGGCAACCTGGTCTAGTTGGGGGTGTCCCTGCTGACTGCGGGGGGGTCAGACTAGATGGCCTTTGGAGGTCCCTTCCGGCCTGGGCAATTCTATGATAATATTTTCAGTTAAGCCAATGGGACTATTCAGGGTAGATCACTCCTGGCCTATAACGTGAGTCAAGTTTGTAAACAAAATCATGGAAAAAAGAAAGAAAAGTGTTATATTCTACATGACATATACTATTCTTGTGACTGACAATTTAATTCAATTAATTTACTTTTGATTCAATCAGCTGCTCTTCTGGGCAATTCTATGATTCTATGATAATATTTTCAGTTAAGCCTATTCAGGGTAGATCACTCCTGGCCTATAACGTGAGTCAAGTTTGTAAACAAAATCATGGAAAAAAGAAAGAAAAGTGTTACATTCTACATGACATATACTATTCTTGTGACTGACAATTTAATTCAATTAATTTACTTTTGATTCAATCAGCTGCTCTTTTTATATATATATTTTTTTTTTATTATTATTTTTTTTAAACTTAGCAGCAAAAGGTGGGACATCCCCTCCCTATCAAACCTAGGAAAACTCGTCAGGCAAGACAAAATTCTTACTTATCAACAGAAAATTCTCCTCCTTCGCCCTTCTCATCGGCAGGTTTCTCGAAGCGGCGCTCCCGAGGAGGTCGTCTCTCCGGTCTCCTGTCAATAGGCTTCCCCTCTCCCTGCTGCTGCTGCTGCTGCTGGTCGGGCCTCCTGCCGATACGTCTTATCCCTGAAACACCAGGCAAAACACATCAACGGAACGTGGAGCTGCTCCAGGACAGATACCGACTCTCAACGCCGTAAAACAATATCGAAGGTAAAGCTGAAATTGGAGTTGTTCTTCCAGCCTCGTGACTAGATAAGCTGAGAAACAACACTTTTATCAAAAAGTCACTGTAGATTATTTGACTGTCGGTATTCATATTTTTATGCAGCATTCGAGTTATATTTTATGCAGCATCGAGTTATATTTTGTACAAGTCTTACAATATTGTAGGAAACAAAACCTGTCAGAGATACAACACATTAGTAATTCATGTTAAAACAACAGGGTCAACTTTCAAAGAAGGACCAAGGTAAGTGAAACGATTATTTTTTTTTCCTCTGAAAGGTGCTTTTCAGGTAAAACAAGTGGTTTTTATTTTGACCCGCCCCAAAACGAAGTCAGCATCACCCTGCTTCATTCCACCACACTCTTCTTGGGAGGCTTTTTTGGCCAAGTGACCCAGGACAGTGCCACCCTCACCCAGGGAGGTGTCACCTGCAGCCAGGACAGCAGGCACTGGTCAGTGACTAAATGGTGTGCTCATCCACACCAGTCCTCCCAGTCCAACACACGCTCCCTGACAAAGACTCACCTCATCGTGCGCTTACTTGAAATAGCTTAAGAATACACTGTTTCCCTGAACTGCCCAGCCTCCTTCCCTCCCTCTCTGTCCCTTCTGAAAGCTGTTTTATTTTTAAATAACTCCACATGGGCATTATATTCCTCCCTAAAACACCTGCAGGATCTTAAATACAGGGGTTTTTTTTCCACTCCTCCAAAAGGTCCGTTTACTCTTCTTTAGAAAGATCTGAACAAACACACCACTCATTTGTTATACTATTTTCTTGCCAAAAGGTTGAGGGGAAAAACAGTAACGCTGGCTTAAGAAATGTGAATTACCCTTTAAATTTAAAGCTGCCAATTTAAATTTTTTTTTTTTTTTAAAAAAGGACTAAGTTCCTGCCTAACAAGCAATGTCATATTTGGGTGGGGCTAAAGAAGCTACAGTTGTAATGATATCCAAGCCAACACACCCAAAGGAACAATGTCTTCCTCACCTTCCAAGCTGTATTTAAGGTGAGCTTTGCATGACACACATGGCTTGCTACATCACCTTTATTCCCCGAGGAAACGCAGGGGTTAAACTCACTCACATTTACTTTGAAAAGGCTTCTCAAACTAAGGAGGACCATTTGGTTTTAAGACCTAAAGCTCAGCAAGGAAAGCAAACAGGCTTTTTTTTTTTTTTTAAAGGTATGTTGCAGAACTGGAATGAATAATCCACGGCTTTTGAATTTCGAGTTTGACACCCTGTGCTCACCCGGTCCCCGGTGAAGCCTAACCAAAAATACAAGTTATTTCTCTTTTTTTTTTTTCTTTTTTTATTTCTTAGTATCACAAAGCTTTGAACTGCTAACTCACCAGACAAATAATCTGCACCTTTACATAGTAGGAGAATAGTTTTAAACTGCAATACCTTCACACAGGAAAGAAACCCCGTCGATAAATGACTTTTACTGCCTTTATATTGTTAAAAGAACTGTCATCGTCGTCCACCCCCCCCAGAAAAAGACATTTTCAAACTGGAAAGTGACTTTGTTTACTACAGAGATGCACTGCTGCAAAAGCAGACCTGCCTTTCTCTGTTTCGCAGCTATAATAAGCCACCAAATACCTTTTTTTATAGCAAAGTAGTGCTTGGTCTTGAAAACGAATGTGAAAACCGGGAGGTAAACACACAGGGACAGCTGGCCCCACTGAACCCCCCCCTGCCCTCCCTCCTGTGGGCCAAACCCACTGCACAACGTTCAGGGTTTCCCTCGCCGGGGACGACACCAATATTCTGTGGCTGACAAATATTTCCAGAGCAAATCGCCACTCGGGATAAATTATTGCTCCCAGGGAAAAAAAAAAAAAAAACAACCACAAAA